CCAAACCAACAAAAGATACTTCCATAGAATATTGTTGAAGATGGAGAAAAGTAATAAATTATTTTCAATTAATAAAGCTACAAAAATTTGAACAAGTTCCATCAATTTTTTTTGGAAAGTGATTTCTTGGTTCTTTTATTCATAACATTAGATTGTTGTCTTGAATATATACATCTTTTAATGAAGTAAATCTTAATGATAGAATTTTAAACTAACTTATAGCAGTAGCCTAGATAGTTTTGTTCTTTGACTACTATATATGATTATATAAAGTTTTCAATGTTTTTAAATAAGGTCTCTCTCTTAATTTTCAATGCTTCAAAAGCATTTATAGTCAAATCTAACTTGGCTTCTCTAGAATCTATCATATTGAATTTCTTACTTCTTATAATAAAAATTAGTCATTGAAAACTTTTAGAATCTTTTAGAATCTTCTAGAATCTTCTTCCATTGGTTATCTATGATAATATGCACTTAAAAAAGAAACATCACAAATCTAAATTATAAATGTTTTTTAGTGTTAGAAGAGCAAATAGTTATAGAAAAGATAGTTTTGTTATTCAAAATATTTCTTCAAAATATCTATTCAAAACCAATATTAATGTTTGTTTTAAGTTGTGGAGCATAAACAAAATAATTTTTATTAAGTTTAAAATTTGAATCAAATAAATATCTAAGTTAAGAAATTAAAATAATTATTAGCTAATTAATAAATTAAAATAATTTTTTTAATAAATATTATATTTAATATTAAGGCTTTGAAAAATTCAATATTTGTGTAAAATATTTAATGAAGAAATGAGACTTGATTTTACAAGTATAGTAATGATGTTGAAGAAAAAAATAGAATTAAAAAATAAATGAAAATCTATTTGCTAAATACATATAAAAATTAGCCAAGTTTGAAAAAAAATTATAGGTCAAAAAATCTTTAAAACATAATCTTAAATAAGAGCTGAAATAATGTTAAGATCAAAGAACTAAAATTAAAGAGAACAAATCTTTAAAAAATGAGATATATATATATATATAGATATATATATGTATATATATATATATTAAAATTTATTATTTATTAATTATAGTATATATTTTAAATAATAATAATTTGTATAAAATAGTGCAACAAATCAAAATACTTATAAACAATTAAAGGTAAGATATCAATCAATATGTCACAAAATTTTGACATACTATAGAAGTTTTTAAATAAAAAATTAACTATGTAATATGATTTCATGCCAATACTTAGTATTATTTGAACTTTGATAAAAAATAAATAAATAAATAAAACAATCAATCAATCAATTAAAGAAATTAGTTAGAATATAAAGAAGAAGAAAAAAAAACTTAAAGTCTAAATTGAAGCAGATTATTTTATAAAACAAGATTAATTTTAACTAAGAATTAAAATACCCAAGTAATAGTATTTTTTTTTAATAAATAAGGTCTATTTAACTCCCAAATTGGATTGATAAAATTAGAATAAAAAATATTAAAATAAGCTTCAATTATTTATATAAAAATTTAATCTAATTGATTAATGTTAGTAGAGTCTATTAAAGTTAAAAACTCATCCACTAGTGATCAATTATATGATATTTGAATAAAATAATTATCTATTTATGGATTAGGTTTTAGCTTAAATTTAAATTATTAGTTCATAGAATTAAATTATTAAGACTAAAGTTAGTTAGAAGGAATTATAAGAAGAAAGAATTAGAAATTTAGATGTAGTTATAAAGAATAGAGAATAGTTTCTTTTATTAGTATTAAGATGAATTTTATTTGAGAGTCAAACAATATTAAGGAGTCAATGTCTATAGGTATTGGTTATGATTGTAGAAAGAAATTTTTTTGACTCCATCTATATGTAAAATTTTATTACTATTATTATTGGATTTACTACTTAGTGTATTATTAAAAATATACAGTAAGTCAAAGTCAAATGCTTGTAGGAAAAGAACTTCGTTTGATAGAATAAAAGATTGTTTTGTATAATATTAGTTTAGTTTGAATAAACATGGATATCTGAAATATGTTAGTCCAGGTAAAATATGAAGCTTAGAAATATAAATAAGCAGAATTATTTCCTTTAAGAAAATTAATTAATATGTATATTTAGTGTAAAATTCTGAAATAGCAGAAAGCCAATTTTGTATTTAGCAATGAAAGTAATTAGAAATAGTAATTTAAAATCATATATTAAAAGTGTTGTTTTAGCAATAAAAGATTAGCAATAAATAAAATATTCAGCTAAAGTATAAATAAATCTATTTTTATTTAAAATAGTATGAATTTAGAATTATTTTTAAATTATAAATTATTAAAAATAGACTTTTGTAAGATACCAATTCTTTTTATAAAATATTAAAAAATATTTTTTAATATAATTTTTAAAAATATGTATATCTTATAATACATTTATCTTGTTAAAATTTGATCTATTTTTTGTCACTTATTTATTTATTTTTATCAAATCTCAAACTTTTGAATTTAGAATTTGCATTTTAAAATTTTAAACTAGGAATACAAATGAATTTTATAATTATTTTTTAGAAATAATATTTTATTTGATTATATTTTATTTAAATTTATTTAGATCTTAGGATTTATTTTTTGAACTTATTCATGAGATTTATTTATTTTAATTTATTTAGATTATCTGTTTCTCTTTAACTAAAGATATTTGACATGTATGACACTTCTAACTTCTACCTTAAAAACCATTATTGTGTTTCTAACAATATTAATATTCGAATTGAATTTGAACAAGAAATATATAATTTTCATATTTTTGAATTAAATCATTAAAAATGTCTTCTTCACAAAACATCTTTAAATATAAAAAAATTTGAAAATTCCTCACAGATAGTTGAAGCACCATAAGATGTTAAAAACTGTGAAAACATTTACCAATATTGTATCAAAACTATACATTGTTCTGATTCCAATTATTAATTCAGCATGGAAAGAGTTACAAAGCAAAAAACTTTTAATGAAAATCACAGTGGGACTAACAGAACCACAAATTTGAAGACACACGTCTTGTTTTTACTTGATTGAAGATTCGCTGGTATGATCTATGATGATTTTAACACAGATATGGACATAAACTCATGTTTGCAGTCATGTGCCCATTCAATCTTAACAGTGGAAAAAATTTACATTATATTCTGGCACAGATTGAGTGCAATTTTAATCAATTTGTGGGAATATTAACTATATAAACATATTACATTACAGTGTAGAAATTATCAAAACATGAGATTTACAACACAATATTTTGAGAGGAGGATTAAAGCAACCCATTTCAAACTTAAATCAACCCAATGGTATCTGCTTTGCACTCCCTCATTAATTTTGAGATTTTGCATTTGGTGATAAGCTAATTTCGAAAAAAGAGTGGGAGGGATAAAGAACATAATTCTTGAGATAATTCTTAAGATGGCTTGAAATGAAGCAGCTCTAAAGAAAAGCAAGCAAAATTGATAATTTTACATTGGAGAGAATTTGGTGAATTGTGAAGAAGGATTGACACAACAGATACTGCAAGAAAATAAGTTTTTGTGAATGTCAAATAATGAAATAATTACAAATTTTATAAATAACAAGTTTTATTTTGACAAACAAATATAACAATGATGATGACAATAATAATAATAATCATAAACATATTGATTATAACAATTATTTTAACAAATTATTAGAATTATATAACCATTATTTTAACAAAAAATATATAACAATGATGATAATAATAATAATTAAAAACACAGAGAGAAAGGAATAGAAACATCAGAATTAGTTGAAACAATGTCTCCTCAACTTAATGTTATATATTCATTCTATGTTAATTGACGTTAAACATAGGCACAACATGCGTCGATGATGAGTTAATACAAACTCACATCTTTAAAACTACGCTAGGCAAAAAAAATTAGACACTAACTAAAAGTACAGCGAACAAATCAAAGGAAGTAAATCGTGGCCACACAAAAAATTGTATAAGCATAATAATAAACTAAACAATTAATGTTCATTAAAAATGTTTTCCACTACATTACAACATTCATCGTTCTTAATGTTAAGACAGTCAACATGACTTAACAAAAAAGTTGAACAAATCAAGATAACCCAAATATATACAAAACTTACCACGGTAGTTAATACGTCAGTAGTAGTAAAATTTCAAAAGATAGCTATTTCTAAATGCATCGCATCCAAAAACACAGGCCGTAAATCACATAATTCGTTATCAAATAACCCCCTAAAGATTCGAATGGTAGGCAGATGAAGAGTTAATTTTACGCTCCTGTTATAAATACAACACTTAAATATAAGAAGATTCAATTTGAATTTGGTTTGGTAACTTTGTCATTACCATCCAAAACTATCGATAGGAGGACATAAAATTTTGAATTATGATATGAAAATTTTAAAAGTATGCCCCCAACGTTGTGCATTCATATATAGTTCTACCTTACTATTCTCTCCAAAAATTGTAAGGCACCTATTAAATAAAATAGAAACAAGAAAAAAAAAAAAAAAAAAAAAAATCATTTCCAATGCAAAACATCCCCAATCATGTTCAATAGGAAGGGCGTGGCCATGACTAGTCTCTCTCCTCATCCGCTAAAATGTCACAGTATGTCCAAAATTCATCGGCATTGGTTTCATCCATGGTAACGAAACTCGAGTGCAGTAGACGACAAAATGGAAGGATGCGACCAGGGATGAACGGGAAGAGTATCATTAATGCGAGACCCTTGGAGTTGAAGGCCACGAGTGGGACAGCGATGCCGAGAAAAATTTGAAAATCGCTCATCCCAGACAAAATATCTGTGGGCCAGCCAGGGTTTCCCAGCCAGCTGCTCTGCCGTGCCAGCCGTAGATCTGCTCATCCGACGGCCACTGCGCCCCATCCTGGACTTGTACCCTCCGGCATTTGGAAAGTGTCAGCCTCTCCCTGACGAACATTTCACCTCGGCTGCCCGGGAGGCCAGGAGCGTCAGATGGGAGATCTGACGGCGGGGCGGAGGAGAGACCTGAACCGGCGGGCAGGGGAACGATGTCGTTGCTTGTTCTTCTGGCTGAGGCGTCCATCCCCTTTACCTCCGCTGTGTGTTTCAAAGGCCGATATCTGCGCTTCCCTTGCGGACCGAGCTCTGTCCCGCTCGCTTACTTCTCTCCCACCGAGCTTCCGAGGTTGGGCATTCCCACCCTTCCTTCTCTTCTCCTCTCCTTCTCTGCTCTTCTTCTCTGTTGTCTGCGGATTAGGTCTTGTGGTCTTTCGAGCTTCGCACAGCTTGAGCAAGATGAGAGAGATCTTGCACATCCAGGGTGGGCAGTGCGGTAACCAGATCGGATCCAAGTTCTGGGAGGTTGTTTGCGAGGAGCATGGCATCGACCCTACGGGGTCGTACAAGGGCGTGACGGACTTGCAGCTGGAGCGCATCAATGTGTACTTCGACGAGGCGAGCGGCGGGCGATATGTGCCGCGTGCGGTGCTGATGGATTTGGAGCCCGGAACAATGGACAGCGTTAGGACGGGTCCGTATGGACAGATTTTCCGACCCGACAACTTTGTGTTCGGGCAGACTGGTGCCGGAAACAACTGGGCTAAGGGACACTACACGGAGGGAGCTGAGTTGATCGATTCTGTTTTGGACGTGGTGCGCAAGGAGGTGGAGAGCTGCGACTGCCTGCAAGGTATGCCCGTCGTTGTTGTGTGGTTGGTGGACGTATGAGTGTGTGGTTCCTTATCCCGTGAGGGTGTAATGGCTTGGTCCCATGACTGCGTTGCACAGCTGGTGCGGCGAGATGTGAGGCCGGGTTTTGACAGGGCAGGGTGGGTTACACGATTGCGCGATGTGCAGGTTTCCAGTTTTGTCATTCTTTGGGAGGAGGGACCGGATCCGGAATGGGGACGTTGCTGATTTCGAAAATCCGAGAGGAGTACCCCGACAGGATGATGCTGACGTTCTCGGTGTTTCCTTCGCCTAAGGTGTCTGACACCGTTGTGGAGCCGTACAATGCGACCTTGTCAGTTCACCAGCTGGTAGAGAACGCGGACGAGTGCATGGTGTTGGACAACGAAGCGCTGTACGATATCTGTTTCAGGACATTGAAGCTGATCACGCCCTCATGTGAGTGACAGATGACCTGGGGATGAGCTTTTGGTTGTACGGCATTGGTGTGGTGTGGTGTGGTGTGGGAGGACATGGGCGCGGATGTCGATGTGGTGGGGGTAGGTGAGGTGCATGGGTGAGGAGTAGGGCGTGTGTTCTTGAACGTGGTGTTTGGTGTGGTTGGAATGTGACTGATGCGTGTTGTCTTGCGGGATACGCAGTCGGAGACTTGAACCACTTGATTTCTGCGACAATGAGCGGGATCACTTGCTGCCTGCGATTCCCCGGGCAGCTGAACTCCGATCTCCGGAAGCTGGCCGTGAACCTGATTCCGTTCCCCCGTCTACACTTTTTCATGATTGGTTTCGCACCGTTGACATCGAGGGGTTCTCAGCAGTATCGATCGCTGACGGTTCCCGAGTTGACTCAGCAAATGTGGGACTCGAAGAATATGATGTGCGCGGCTGACCCCCGGCACGGTAGGTATTTGACGGCGTCGGCGGTGTTCCGGGGCAAGGTGTCGACGAAGGAGGTGGACGAGCAGATGATCAACGTGCAGAACAAGAATTCGTCGTACTTCGTGGAGTGGATTCCGAACAACGTGAAGTCGAGTGTGTGTGACATTCCCCCGACGGGTTTGAAGATGTCGTCGACGTTCATCGGTAACTCGACGTCGATTCAGGAGATGTTCAGGCGTGTGAGCGAGCAGTTCACAGCCATGTTCAGGAGGAAGGCTTTCTTGCATTGGTACACGGGCGAGGGCATGGACGAGATGGAGTTCACGGAGGCGGAGAGCAACATGAACGATTTGGTGTCGGAGTACCAGCAGTACCAGGACGCGAGCGCCGAGGAGGAAGGCGAGTACGAGGAGGATCTGGAGGAGGCTTAGGCGCGCGGTTGGCTGGAAGAAGAGTCGAGAAGCGATGTGCGGCAGCGGCAGCAGCAGGAGGGGCAGGCAGTCAGGTGCAGCACGTCGCTGGGGTGATGCGGAGGGACTTTGCCGGTTGGCTGGGGTACAGAAGCGAGGGGTAAATATAGTAAGATTACGCGCGGCGGAAGGACGCGATGGCCAACGAGGTGGAGGGGTTGGGGCGGTTTTACGTGTACAGTATGAGACTGACACTGACGTTGATCCTGCGCGAACCACCGGGGCTAGCGGTAGTAGATAGTTGGAGCGAGAGTTCGGGAGCGTTGTTGCGGATAAGCTCCGGCGTTTGACCCCAGGGTGCAACCGTAGTTGCATGGGGGTGGTGGGGGGATTGAAATTGGAACCGGACTTGGAGTTGAGAAGTTCGGGTTGTTTTTGGAGGCAGTTGAAAGACGTTTTTAAGAAGTTTGAGCTGTTGGAAATACATTGTTACCCTGAGCTTAAGCAGTGTGTAGTGGCGATGTGTTTAATTGTCTGATTCCTGTATGTTGGTGTGTGCGAGGCGTGTGAGTGCGTGGTTGTGTGCTTGACGTGGCGGTTATGGGCCGTGCTGTCGGAATGATTTACTGGATTATTTGGTCCATTGGTTTCGTGGACTGGAGACGGTGGATGTTTGTAGTGCTTGTGTGAACAAGGCGGGCATGCAGATGATGGGCTCGCAATAAAGACAGGGTCATGTCGGGTATTGCCCAGATGAAAGTCTCTTTTGGTGATGCCGATACGGAAAATGGAAGTTGGTACAGTCGCACGTTCAGGCGTCATGGGTTGCCTTGGAAGTTTGCATTGGAAGAGAGAGTTGAGGGTGTCCTGGATGATGTCCACGAGGTGGTGTTTGAATCGATGTTGTGCGAAGTAGACCTGAGCACCGATGTGTGACACCGGAATGGTGAGTTTGTGTCAATGAACTGTGAGCGTTTTGATTGAGGCAGACATCCAAGGGGTTGTTTTTCGGGTTCCAGGGTGCGAAGAGTTGGAGCTGCTCATGTTTGGTGTGGTGTTTTGTTTCGGGGTTAGTGTGTTGCGCATGCACTTGTGGCAGCATGCATTGTCAAGTGTGTCAGAGTCGTATGTATGCGGTGATTTTGCTGGAGTATTTGGAGAGGATGTGGATTCCTAACGAGCTGTGGAGATTTTTTAATAGCATGTGGATGGGATGAAATTTCGGCGAGTACGCACGATCGTGTTGACGTGGGTTGCTGCCTACACTGGTTTGCTCTGCTTGGTCGGTCGTTGTTTTGGAGAAGATTGTTTATGCCCCTAGCACTTGTCCCTTCGCTATCGATTACGGGGTAATCGTTCTTCTCAGTCAATTCAACTTTGAACCTCGTTGCATCGCCATTTTTTCGTAAGTGCAGCTTTCCTATGTGGACCGTCTCTATTGTATATCACTTGGGAGGATTGTAAGAGTCAGAGAGGTGGATGTGCCTGAGGGTTCGTGGACTGAGGTTGACAATGGAGAGTTCCCATTTCTATTCAGTCTTCGAAGTATTGGCGCTCGGGCTATTTTCCTGTTAGGAAGCTCACTTGAAACTTCGAGATGATTAAGTCTCCAAGAAAATAGTGCCTGGGTTTTTTTCAATTTGCAATGTCGTAGACATGGACTTAGTGCCGAGACTTTTAATCTTGTCAGGGGCTGGATGAAGTCCGATGCACTAATATGTAGAGATGGTAATGAGAGTGTTAGTATCAGCGCAACATTCTCGACTTTGTGAAGAGGATGTTTGGAGTAAGATATGAGGATTTCTCACATTTGTTTTTTTGCTTCATCCAAGTGCAATGTTGATTCTGATCCTAGTGGTATTAAAAACTTGATTTCTGGTTGAGTTGTCATAACTGAATTGGCATTCACTCCACCCACTTTCAAACCTCAGTTTTGCTTTTGCATCCAGTTGTCCAACTTGTAGAAGGTTTTAAGAGTGAATCAAGCAAAGAATTTAGTCGAGGTTTTGTCCTTGTCTCGATTTCTGTGCATGGAAAGGGATTCGTGTTCACTTTTGTTTGGAAATGAAGTCTCTATAATGGTAGTGTGCCTTTTTTAGCACATGTGGAGGCCCTTCTAATGTTCTACTTTTGCTCTATTAATTTTGCTTCAGAATGCAGTTGCACATCTTCATAAAGAGCGAAAATATCTGTTACTTTATTCTATTTTAACTTACAAGGGTTTAATTTAGCGGTTTTCAATAAGTTCAGTTTTATACTTTACTAGTGAAAATTTGTGTCTTTTTTTTATCATTTAAAACATGACAAATAGGACAATGTCGTTTATTAGAATGCTTGCATATTTACTACCATCTTTGTTTTGATGTTCTGTACAATATAAAAAGATTATTTATTTTTAGTAGGAAACTTGTTTTCTTTTAGTTAATAGAATTGTCTTCTTTATTTTAGGTTGCTATTGCATTTCAAAGGTATTATATTATTATGAATTAAATGTAATTTCTTAACTAAGTTGTGTGATTATACCAAAATATTTTTGTTTCAATATGGCCAATCGCATTAAAGTGTATAACTAAGGTTTATTTAACTTCATGATTATATAACATTAATAATATAATTCAACTTTTTAATGTTTAATGCACATTTATAAATATATTTTTAAAGAAGTTATACTTATAACTTTAGTATTTAATGTTATAAAAAGAATAGAATAAATATGTAATCAGTCTCTAAAGAAGATGCTTAAATTCTTATTAAATTATATAAAGTGTAATATGTTAATTTGATATTATATTCGTATTGATATTTTAGTATTGATTTATTTCTTTTAATATTTATTTATATTCTTTTAATATTAAAATTAGGATTTGATGTCTTGATTAGATTGCTCTTATCATTTTGTTTATTATTATTATGATATTAAACTTGAAAAAGATTAATTAATTATTGTACATTTCTTTGTTACAGAATATTAGATTGGTATTTAACTAGAATACTTTAATAATTATATTTAGATAACAAAAAAATGATTTTTTTTAAAATTTTATATTTCAAATATATATATATATGAATGTTAAAATGATCCTTGCTTTATTAAACCAACCCACATGTCTAAATCTATCATTGCACTTCTATCTCCATTCTCTCGTTTCCAATTCCCACCCCAATTTTCAGCCCCCAATTCAATTCCCCTCATTCTATGCACCTACTCTTATTCCTAACCCTCGTCTTTGTTCTTCTCGTTTCCAACCTCCACTCTTATTTCCTTGTTTCAATCCCTGTACTCAATCTATGTCTTTGTCCAATTCCATCACTTGTATGACCTAGATGTGTTGGTAGAGGACTTGATATTGTGGTGGGTAATGGAATAGGACAAATATAAGACAAAGTTATGGAGGAGAGCTAGACAATACAAGATCTTTAGTGGCATAAAGATTTCTAGTGCATCACATAGTAAGAATAGTACTAAAAAAACACACAAACAATCAATAATCAACAAATAAACATACAAACAACAAAGGTGAATTTAGAACAGCAATTGATGTATGCATTCAAAAAGACATGGACCAAAAAAATGCATAATATAGATCAATTTCATGACAATATATACAATTGTGAGAAAAGTTTTTACATTGATTTTATGCACATGTAATTTTTGACTTTTTAGTGCCTTGAAAATCTCCTATAGCCATCTTCAAAACATTGATGCCCTTGCTCATCTTAATTAAATTTGCTTATGTTGTAAATGCTCAAATTTGCCATTACAATTTTTTTATATTGTATCAAGGTATGTAAGCTTCAATGTGATATATAAGTGACTAGTGGTAACTATGAGATTGAGTGACCAAAATATAAAGCAATGACACATTTCTACATGGGATTCATGATTAATTTGGTGTCAATAAAGATTGAGGATTAGTTGGTTGTGTATATAGGGTAGTAGTTATGGGATCATTACACCTATTTTCTAAATTTATTATATTTGTGGATTTTAAATCATGGGCAACTTTAAGTAGTAAATTTTTATAATATTCTCTTTCCATGCTTGTGATTTATAACTTTTTTTTACAATGCTTTACAATGGCATTTTGACTGCATTAGCATGCTTTTATAACCTATCCATATTTCCATTTTGTTTTGTAAAAGAAGGAATTGAGCTACACAAATTTAGTAGCCAGCATCTATTTGGCATTATTGTGTGTAAAGAGATCAAATCATCCATGATTAATATTAGACAACATTGCATCATTTCACTCATGAGAATTGACAAAGAAGTGATATTTATCATTAATATGTACTACCTATCTATAAATATCATAGAGAAAGCTTTTGATATTATAGCATGTAAGTTTTATAATGTCATCCATCACATTCACACTACAATTTCAACCTCCATTACGTTTAACTAATAATTATTGACTTAAGTAGTCACCAACTGCATTGCTCAATTGAATTCAAAGAAGTCTTGAAAACTACTATGTACTGCTTTCCGACACCTTCACAATTCATTTTGAGTTAATAATTGCTAGTATATACTTGGATTTGAAACTTAAAACTTTTCAATTTCTATGGCCACCCAAGTTTGCAAAAGTCAATTAGAGAAGAAAGTATGCATTGATTTATTGAATGATTTGAGCATCAATACTCTACCAACTATCATCAAATAAAGCAACATGCCTCATAAGCTACACTACAAGTCCTACAACCAAATTATCAAAAGAATTCTTTGCATTGAACACTCTCACTTGCATCTATGAATTCCACAAAGTGATGTTGCAAAAATAAGGACAAGGATTGAGGAGATCAAGACAAAGAACAGTGGCTAGAAATAAGAGCTAGAAACTAGGGCTAGAGATGGAAGTTGATATATCTCTCTATTTCTAAGTGTAGTCAATATCTTTTATCTATTCTTTTTAGAACTCTTTGTAATCTAAAGAAATGCTTGTGCTTATTAAATTTTTTCTACAACCTATCTTGTAGTTCATATCTATGTCAATCATATATCAATCCTAATTTATCTATGATAAGCTAATTCAAGTAATGAAGCAATTTTTATTATTACTTATGATAAGTTTAGTATAACTTACAATTTAGAAAAAAATAGATAATTTAAAAATATTTCAATGTAGAAAATAGTTAATAAGTGAATTTAAACCATCATTAGCAGTTACATTAGATTTGAGATTAAATTGTATGAAGATTTTTTTATTCTTTTATAATATATTTCAAGACCTGAAAGAAGAGAACATTAAAAAGATAGAAATTGCTAATCGTACAAAAAGAAGATTGGGCGAGAAGAGTAGGCTGCAATACTTTTAATATTCCTGGAATGAAAGGAGAAGTGGGTGGCTCTCAAGTGAAGCTTTTTGGAAAGTCTAGTGGAAAAAACAGAGGAAGGCCTAGTCAGCAATCTCTGATGATAAGAGGGACCTCAAGCAACAGAACCTCAGCCTATATCTCAAGCCGATCTGGTCATCTCAGTGATTACAGGCCGACATGTCTAAATA